TTTTTTCTCAATGCATGTCATTGGACGGGAGGTGGGCATCTTTAGATTCTTTACAGTCCCCGCTAGTGGGTCGAGGCCCCAGGGCGGATCTCAGCGGTTCTGGGGCCTTGGGCCGCTAGTGGGTCCAGGACTCCAGGCCCCAGGGCGGATCTCAGCGGTTTTGGGGCCTTCTTGTTTCTTCTTTTCTTTTTCGGAAAACGGCCTGGCCCTCCGACGTGGATGACTAGACTGCAGTTCCAAACTCTGCCCTGAGACAGCCACGCGACGCCGGAGTTTGGCAATTAGTGGGATTGCCTTCTTGGATTCGGGAAATGCTGGGATCGCCTTCTTGGATTCTGGAAATGCTGGGATCGCCTTCTTGGATTCGGGAAATGCCGCCCTCCTGTTAGTGGGAGACTGGGAGTTAGTGGGATCCCTCTCTCTCTCTCTCTCTCTCTCTCTCTCTCTCTCTCTCTCTCTCTCTCTCTCTCTCTCTCTCTCTTTTGTTGGTGTGTGGAGTTAAGTGGGATCGCCCTCTTGGATGCGGAAGTTCCGCCTATCGAATGGTTGCCTTGCGGAGATTCCGACATTCCTCTTGTTTCTGTAAGTCTTTGTGTGTGCGTCGTGTTTTTTTTTTTTTTTTTTTTTTTTTCATCATTGCAAGGGACAGAGAACATCGGCGTTTTTTTTCCCCTCCAAGTTTTGAGTTTTTTTGGTTGTTGTTTGGTTGTTTGTTTTTGCGTTTCATGTCGTTTTGTGTTTTCCCTTTGATGTCCAGGTGTTCTGCACTTTTGCGTTCGTTGTTTTTTCCTGATTCATAGCATGTCTTTGCCGCTCGACTGCGGACTTCGATCTCTGTCGCGAGTTGGCAACATTCTGAGAGGATTCCGACATCGTCTTCTTCTCGCGGGTAAAGGCTTTCATCATGTCGCAGGACTGGGGGAAGGATCCGATAGACTCGTCCACAAGCGCCCGACAAGGTCATAACACGAAGACGTTTGACTCGCCGTTCAAGGCCGACCCGAAAGTCGACGACAAGAGGGACGACCCAGTGCGGCATTTCGTGGCCAGAGGGCATTATTTGGATGGGTCAATGGCGGCGGGTAGGAAGAGTGGTCATCGATGCCTGTGTAGGTTGTGCGGGCGTTCGATTTGTGGGGGCGCTAAAGCCGCCAAGGAACACTTCTCAAAGAGCGAGAAGTTCCGCTGTGAGGCAACCACTCCTGTTGTGTGGTATGCGATCTGGTCGAACGACATGACAAAATGTCCGAAGGAGTTCGCGTCGGCCATTAAAACTTTGCAGAGCTTTTTGCCAGGCCATCCGAGCTTGCAGAGGCCACCTCTTCGATTCCCCGAGGACGCAGTGCCGCCGCCGGTTCCTGGCACCGCCACTTCTGGACCGGTCGCATCGCCCAATTCTGGGGCTCCCGCTATTCGAGTCACGATAGCGCGTCCTGCGACAACAGTCGCAACACGACCGGCAGCCCCACCGTCTGCACCGCTGGCTGCGACACGAGGTGCTCGCGATGTGGAAGTTGGTCGTTCCGCGCCAGCCAACGAGCCCCCGCCTGTGAGGAATAGCGCGGGCTCTGAGGCATTTAACGAGGAGAGCGTACGTGCTTTTTTTGAAAGTCGCAGGTGGGGGGGGAGTGCCGGTAGTTCATCAGTGCTCGCCCCTGTGTTCAGGGATGCTAGACAGTCAAATGTGCGCCTGGCGCATCGCCCCACGGTTCATCGGATCACCCCTGGCTGCCACCGCCCTCGTCACGAGCGGCGCAGCATCCACTGGTCCACCACGGTCATGCAACGGCCCTTCCGGATCTGTCACACGCACCTGCCGATGCTCGACAATCTGCCCCCGTGCCTCGTTTCGGGGAACAAGCAGTTCATGGGGTGCCTGCCGAGGAGGTCCTCGCTCTGGTGTTCGATTCATCACCGACCCTGATTCCGACGACGACGGGTGGTGGTCGGTCTGCCCCACAGCCTCCACCCGTGTTAACCGGAGCGTTAGACCCTTTGCAGCGCATTCACGACCTTGCAGTCGCCCAGAGCGCGGCACCTGTGAGTCCTGGCGGGTTGTTGGATGCCGGGGTCCTCGGCGGGAGAGCCACGACGGAACGATGTCGGGGCACTTACAGGCAGCATGCCGTCACGTTATATTATTTAGACCCTTTGGAGCGCGCGTAGCATCTGCAAATCATGCGGTTCATCGTCGAGAGCAGGATGCCGTTCAACTCCTCGAAGCTTGAAAGCTTCAAACGCATGTTCACGATGATAATCCCGCCGGGGGTTTCGGGGGCGGCCGCGCCTAGACTTCCCTCCTACCACATGCTGCGCACGACCCTTTTGGACGAGCTGGATGGTGAGGTCCAGAAGTGTGTTCGGCCGGTGCTTGACACGTCGAGAGAGACCGGTTGCACAATCATGACCGATGGTTGGACCAACATCCGTGGCCAGACGTTGTACAACTACCTTGTTGGGACAGAGATCGGGGTAGTGTATGTGGCCACCGACGTCATGCGCGACAAAAAGGACGCGAGTGCCCTCGCGAACGCATGGTTGAAAAGGGTGAAGTCCATGGACATTCAATTGAGCGACATCACAACGTTCGTGACAGACTCCTCCGGGGTGAACGTCGCGACGATGAAGGTATTCCAAAAAGATGAGAGCGTGAAACACATCTTCTGGATTCCTTGCGTCACCCACGTCATGGATCTCGTTCTCGAGGACATCGGCAAGATTAATTGGGTGGCTTCCCGCATTGCGCAAGCGAGGCTGGTTACACGGTTCTTCAAGCGCCATGGACATGCGAGAGAGGTTTTTGAGGCGCACTCGACGAAGACTCTTTTGCTACCGGCGGAGACGCGTTTCGACACGAACGTCATCATGATGGACAGGTTGGTGGAACTGCGGGCAGCGTTGACAGATGTTGTGGGCAACGATCGCTGGCGTGAGACTGTTTGGTCGACCAGCAAGATCTGCAAGGACACCGCGGAGGTCACTGCGTGTATCGGCTCCCCTCCATGGTGGGAGGATTTGAGAGCTCTGTGCAAGATGCTCGAGCCCATCATAGACATGCTGAAGTTGGCGGACAGCGACACACGCCAAATCAGCAAGATTCTGCGATGGTACGAGGAGATGATTGCGTCTTGTTTATCTGCATATCGTGACATTGATCGGGACCAGCAGGACGCTATTGTCGAGGTTTTCATCAGGCGGCGCACCATGTTCAAGACCCCCGCCCACACAGCAGTCATGCTGCTAGATCCAGAATTCCGGGACGCGACGCTGTGTGACGATGCGGACGTGCAGCAGGCCTTGGTCGAGGCCCTGGTACAGTTCAGCTACTTGGAGGGATCGCCTCAGCACCGGGAGGTCCAACGAGCGGTCGCCAAGCTCCACATGAGGGAGCCCCTTTTCGTTGAGCTCACCATGCGGCGAGTTGCGCATATCTTTGATCACCCTGCCAGTTTTTGGTCCTCTAAGAAGGGGAAGTTCCCTCACACGGCCGTGTTTGCAGGCAGGATTCTTCATATATGGACGACCGCATCACCGTGCGAGAGAGCCTGGTCTCGTTGGAGCTTCATTCATTCGAGAAGTCTCGCAACAGGTTGGAGGTTCCTCGGGCTGAGAAGCTTGTGCGGTGCCACTAGATGGAGCAGGACCCGGTTGCCGTGTCCGAGGACAAGATGGGAGGACCTTCCGACGAGACGCGCCGTAACCCGGTTTTGATGTGATGGTGACGGAGGACGATACTGGGTTCAGTATCACTCATCCCCAATCGCCAGCGCCGGTTGTTGGCATTGGGGAGGAGACGGAGTTCGGAGGACCCGGTCCACTCCGCCAGGCGCAGACTAGGTGCACTCCAGCAGGCGCCGCATTCCACTCCACAGGAGCGGGTTTGGAGGACTGCGAGGCACGACGTGAGCCGCCTCCTCACACGAGTGACAGCGGTCTAGAGGATGGAGAGGTTGCACCCACTCCCACTTGTGGACAGGACGGGGAGGACGAACATCCACCGACGGGGCACCACGTCCGCCTCGACTGCCCGCCCGGCAGTCTTCCGCGCACCGACGAGCTATTCACCATGGATTCCGCCTTGGCATCTCTGCTCGATGTATCGCTATTGATATCTCCCACTTTGCCGGTTGGGGCACCACCGGAGCATGCTGGATGAGATGACGCGCGTCGTGATAGGGGGTTCGACGAGTTCGGCGGCGACACGATACTGCATCCTCCAGAGTCCGGCACTCCCGCCATTTTTCATGTCAGTGCACCGTGGGCGGTGGAGTAGGGGTTGGCGGAGGAGGTGGCACGGAGCCGTCGTGGCGGACCGCCCGTCGCAGCGCAACGTAGTCTGGGAGGTTCACTAGAGGCAGTGTCAGGAGATTTTTTGGCGCAGGGGGGTCATGGTTCGCAACTGTTATCGGACAGCGTGTCATCAGTCCATCCACCGGACGAGGGCCCGCAGCGAGAGCCACATCGAGGCCCAGCGGATACTTTAGAGGCGAGGCCTCTCGGAGTTATCCACTCGGATGGAGGCGAGGGCGTGAGCCAGGACACGGCGCAGCCAGGGAGCGCAGATGGTGGACGGTCCTTCGGGGGGGGCATCGAGCGCAGAGGGTCATCGACCGCACACCCGAGCATTGTTAGGCCCAGCACACACTGGCATGACGTTGGAGACGGGCATACAGATGAGCCTCGACCGCATCTGATGGGGATGCATGACATCATGTGTCCACCACCCTCACGCCTCCCTGTCGTTGACCCCGCCGCCCACGGGCAGGCCGCGCCGAGCGCATTGCCTATGAGGTCTTTCTACGATGGTGCGGGCATGGACCGGAAGGCAGGCGATATGGGACAGACATCAACATGCGGACCGGCAGATGTGCCCGCGGGGGCGCGATCAATCGGCAACGTCAATGGCACTTGTCACGATTCCATGAGGGCTTACGAGGAGCAGCATGGGAGGCCTATACGGGCCAAGACGACCGATGTCCACGACACCAGGATGGCAACTGCGAGGCTGTCACGGGCGAGGAAGAAAGGAACAGGTGTGTCGATTCCGTATCACCGACGCCGCCCGCAACCTTTTTTCCGCAACAGAGACAAGATCAGACAGATGTCAGCTGCCGCAGATGGACAGGGGGGGCCAGAGGGAGGTGACAGAGTGGACGAATCAGGTCGAGGTGAGAAGAGACGAGGCGGCACGATCATCATCCACGACGACAGTTGCACGGCCGCTGAGGGCGGTGAGATCACAGGCGCCGACGATCCTGATAACTCCGATTACGTCCCGAGGATCCGAACGGCAGACGGAGTTGACGCCGGAGGTCGTCGCGTGAGGATGAGGACTGGACCTGGCCCAGAAGGTCATTGCACCCCAGCAGCACATTTGCCGCCTATTGGTCGACGGGCGCAAGCTCGTTCTCTGTTGCGCAGACTGGGGGAGCAAAGACTGACCCATCAGCAGCCGGGGGGGGAATCCCGGAGACACGACGGAGAGAGAGAGAAAGAGAGAGACTTTGTGTGTTCAGTGTTCATTGCTCTCTATCATTCTTTGTTTGGCAAAGGACTAACTGAGATATCTGCCTGTATGGAAAATTCGCGAGGTACATATCTGTAAATATAGAAATATGGGCCCAGTACCAACTTCATTTTCCCTACAGGCTACAGGCTACTGCTACCCAAACTGCGAATAGCAGACCCGGGCTACCCCTAGGACAGACAGGCCTTACGGGCCTATGCTGATAGACGGTCCTATAGTCTATAGCCGGGTAGGGTTAGGCCCTAGAGGCCAAAACTGGTCAGTCAATCGTATCTAGGTCGATCTAGGCTATATGAAGATTATAGTCTTATAGATAGGATGTGGACACCAGAGGTCTGGCCTATCAGAGGTCTGATGCGTTGGAGTACGTGCTGCACTGCTCAGTCAGTTCTGACCCTCCTCAGGAGTAGGGTCCTAGGCTCCCGGACTCCCTATGGCGATCGAGCCATAGCTGCATCTTCTCAGAGATTATCATCGTTTGAACTTCATCTTCATCAGGTACTGTTGGCCGTGAGCTTCTACTTCATCATCTGAGTGGCGATCGCCGATTGGCTCTGGGAGCCCTTTTCACTGTTTTTAGCTGTTTAGGGTGTTGGGGTTGAGGCGCTACCCCTTTCAGGGTAGCGCAACAGGAGGTTATTTTAGTTGAACGATGCTCTGAGTTCAATAAACAGTGTTAATACTGTGTTTGAGTTCACTGAATTACGTATTCTGTCACTTTGCCTCTCTGAGTCTTCCGTTGAGTTTCTTCTTCTGGGCGGCGGGACACTCCAGTACCTCTCCCCCTTTTTTTGTGCTTGTATGGGCGTGTACGGGAGTTCCGGTGAGTGAGCGTTGGCCGAAGTTCAACAGACAGTCATGTTCATAGCATGTGTGTGTGTGCGTGTGTGTGTGTGTGTGTCGGGGTGTGTGTGTG